TACATTGCTGGTAGGTTATCATTGCACAAATTAACACAATCTCTACGTTTAAAAAATAAATTAAAAAATTTGAAGAGTTCTAAACTAATGCGCTGTCTTCACTGTATCTCGCGCACACACGTTTAGTCAGATCACTCTGCGCGCGCGCACAGACATTCTTTAGACAAACTTTTTAGCGCTGCCCCGCAATTTTATCAATAAAATAGCTTAATCACTGAAGAGCTACATTATCTTTCTCAACAAGGAGCTGGTAACATCATTGTTTCTAAAGGAATTAAAGCCACAGCTTCACTGTTAATAGAGAAACGCGGCAAAACGGTGGTAATTCCATTCATACACAGCCTCCCTCTCTCTCATACAAATGAACACTTGATAAATCACACTTTTCTGAGAATAGAATATTGAAGTGGAGATCGCTAAACTGCAAGCTAACCGGTGTTTTCAGAAAGCAAGCACATTTATCCTCAGTGGAGAGAGCGCGTACACATGGTTGCCAGGTTGACAAAGATAAGTAACACATTTAGCAGATATTTCTAAGTGCGAAGCTCTGTTTCGGGGGTTACGTCTCTTCATATCAGGCAACCCCCGGTTGTGTTCCTCTGCGGCCAGATCAAACCTCGTTGTAGCCTATATATTATGCTCTATTCATTATTTTTTAGAAACCTTGCACTTTTTAATATAAATTGGCTTCTACTTCAGTGCATTGTGAACTGCATAAACTTCTTCCTGGTTCCCTCAGGAGCGTTAGCCGGAGTGATCGACATCGTGGCCGACTGGTTGAACGATCTGAAGGAGGGCGTGTGTCTCAGTGCCATGTGGTTTAATCACGAGCAGTGCTGCTGGGACTCCAACGAGACCACCTTCGCCGAGAGAGACAAGTGTCCTCAGTGGAAGACGTGGGCCGAACTCATTCTGGGGCAGGCTGAGGTCAGTGTGAAACTCTGTACACACTACGGTTCAAACGTTTAAGGTCTATACGGTTTTCTGAAGTTAGGCATTGAGACTTTTATTCATCAGGGATGCATTAAATTGATTTAAAGTGACAGTAAAACATTCATAATGTTACAAAACATTTCTATTTCAAATGAACATTGTTCTTTGAACTTTGTTTTTTTTAACATTGATAAGACAATCATAAATGTTTCTCGAGCAGCAAATCAGCATATTAGAATGATTTCTGAAGATCATGTGACACTGGAGAAATGATGCTGAAAATTCAGCTTTGATCACAGAAATAAATTACATTTTAAAATATATTATAATAGAA